GTTAATAGCCAACAAACATTGGTGAATCAAGGGGTCTAGCCGGCCTACGCCGCCTGATACCTCTACTACTCAATCAAGATTGTGACGAAGACTAAGTAACTCCTATGTTAACTTAATAGTCACTCAAACTTAGTATGGAGCCTAAAAGGTATGAGTCGTCCACTTGTTTTTAATAAACAAAGGCTCTCAACCAATACTCTTGCTAGGTTAACAAATAACGAGTTAAAAGCCAACATTGGCAATAAAGGGAAACAACCGGTACCCGTCGCTTGTTTTCCTACTTAATTCCCTGGCTACTAGGTAATTCTATTTACTTGGTCAAATTGAATAAAGAGTTCGAATACCGATTGATTAAATGGCCGACTGATCATCTATCCTGGAAACAGACAACCAGTCGTCCAGGGGCATAGGCGGCATACTTACTATTTGTACCTGTCTTAACGTTCGGCCATACACAACAGTCGGTCTAGTGAGCAAATTAAAAATACTTAGACAAATTTGAACCAAAACAAAAATTTGATTAAAAAAGAGCCGGCCATAAAAGACCAGCAGAATATTCAAAACCCCGGCCCCCTGGCCGGGTAATTACAAAGCAAACGGCACGCAGGCCGTGAAAAGAAAAAATACTTGAAGCTTAAGAAGGGGGCAGTTCAGTATCAGCAGCGGCCGCCTGGTCAGCACTTTTCTTGCTGGACTCGGCCTTGGCTGCACCTTCTTTTGATGCCTTACCCTCAAGTGGCACAAGCGCCACAACCGGCTCTTCCTCCTCCAACGCACCGTCCAACGCCTCTTCTTCAGCAGCCGCCAGGATCTGTTGATTATATATTTCCGAACACTGGCGGTACGTTCTTTCCCATGAGGCAAAGTCGGCACTGGGGAACAGTCGTTCCCAGGTCATGCGTTGGATTTGAGCGGAGTCTTCCACCATCTCCCGGACGAGCTCTTGTTTCTCTTGCTCGGCCTTATCCGAGAGCTCTTGGGTAAGACTCTTCTCCTGGTTCACCAGGCGTTCTTTTACGTTGGCCAAAGATTTCTCCATGGCTTCGTAAGAGTGCATTTTTTGGCGAAGGGGTTTCAGCTCGGCTTTAAGGTTGGTGACGGTCCCCTCCAGCTCGTCAACCTTCTTTTGGGCCGCCTCTAGCTGAGCCCGAACAGCGGCGGTCGCCTGCGCCTGATAATAAAGAAGATCAATGGTCAGTACTTCATTTTGGGCAATTTGAAACATTGCCTTATCACAGCTGGAGGCGGCCATAGCCTTTGCGGCTTTTACCTCTTTGTTTTTCCGATCAATCGGCTTGCGTAGGCTGTTGACTCGGAGCAGGGCCTAAGTACAAAGAAAAACAGGCGTCAGTTTCCAGATAAAAAGTTAACAGGCGTCCTAGAACTCAAAAGCTCAAAAATATACTAAGTATACCTCAGCAAGGACCCCTGAAATTCCATCAAGGTCAAGGGTGCCGGCACCCCTGACCGCCTCCCTGTCAGATGGAGGAACTACTTTAACCATAGACTTGGCTACCTCAACCAAGTCAAGTCCCTGGGGGCCGGCTGCATTAAGTGAAAGGATAAAACAAGTTAGACCTAATCAAGAAGGAAGCAAGGGTAAGTTTTACAAGTGAGTGTCCATACATCTAGGCGGCCCCGCCTGGGTTTTTGAAGAAGTGGCCGGCTGCTTCTCAGCCGCCACTGTTTTCCTGGAAGACCCAGGAGAGCTTGCAACAGTCGTCCTCCGGGCCTTGGGGTCCGGCTGTTGCGAGGAAGAAGCCCTTGGAGCGCCAGACTGAAAACAAAAAGAGTTAGTATATGCATAAGACAACTAAAAGGGGAAGAGTTTTCAAAGCTTACCAAGGGTGCCTCCTTGTTGGGGGAGTCGGCATACGACTGCTTCATTAGCGAGACCCGCAGCATGGCCGCCGCAGTCTTAGATGCTGTTATTTTACTCATGGCGTCAGCTGCAAGAAATAAGCAGCAAAGTTAGTAAAAATCCCAAGTAAACAAGGCGTGAAAAAACAGAGTATTCGTCAGGCCGGCTACCTCTAGAGCACCGACTGCTGAGGCCACAGGCGGCCAAAAAGTACTCGTCATAGAGCCACTTGAAGCTCGGGACGCAGTTTAGGGGTACTTGCTCTCGTACCCCTGAAGTAGAGTTCACCCTAGTCTCTACTTTGAAGAGTCCTTTGTCTAGGATCTCTCTTTTAGCCTTTGGGGGAACAGGCGACATGCTGCGGCCGCCTGCGAGAAGAGGCGGATCCCTATTCCACTTGTTAAAGCGTTTGTTCAGCTCCGTGTCTGAACCCTCGATAATAAGGAAGGTGTTCCGCCAATCCTTCCATTTGTTTGCCTTACCTCTCGTCATGAGGTAACCCCTATGGCTTGTTAATTGATACCAGGCGGTACCTCCCGACTTAGGGGTCCGGCTGAGATAGTTCATGTGGGCGAAAGCCTCAAAGCTTGGCTCCACCCCGTTCAGTTCGCACCCGGCCACATAGCCGAGTACGTTTACCCAAGAGTTGGGGGCTAACTGCCATAACCCCAGATCATACCCATCTAAAATCCGCTGAACAGCCGGATGTAATGGGAAGCGCAGTCCAGCTTTGATGGCCGCCACATAGCAGCCAAAGCAGCCGTCACCATAGCTGGTACCAGCCGGCCAGACGACAGTATCTTCTGGATCCGGCACAAACAGTAAAAACTCCGGGCCCATTTTGTGGTTAGCAATAAAGCTCGCCACGTTGTCTTGCATGGTTGCGATCCGGCCCCGGGGTACCCTGCAGTAGTAGGGGGCGTTTTCCTCTCTGTAAGAGGCGGACGGCTCCGCCCAATTGTCCCCCTTCTCAACTACATGAGAACGTCTCGCCTCTTGTAGGCGGCTATGTTTTTCTTCTGAGCCAGGAGAACTGTGGCCAGAAGAACTGGACTCAGACTCGTCCTCTGACGAGTCCGAGGAGGACGACTCCTCCCCTCTCCTAGAGGGGCCCGCCTCCTCTCCCTTAGAAGGAGCAGAAGGAAAATTAGACATGTCAACGGTAAGATGGGAAGGGAACACCTTGGCCCCTCTCTCAGAACTGTCGGCTTGACAGTCGCCTCGTTCTACATCTGGCGCCTGGTCAGATGTTTCACTAAGGAGCACCCTTTGGGAGGAGCCGTCTGAGTTTGATATCATAGCAGTCTTTTTTGTTCTGGCCATCACGTTCTGCATAGACACAGATACAATCGGACTTTGTATAAAGGGCAAAGATGGGTCCAGAAAAGGGCAGGCGACACTCCTAGTCCTAGATTCAGCCGTCCCCGGTGACCGGCTGATCACTAACTTAGGGCGTGTCGTGTGCTTCCATGGTGCCATTTCAAAAAATAAAAAGAAAATTAAGAGTAAGAGAACTGAGTTACCTGAACGAGTGACGGTTGATGAAGTCCTGGAAGTTCGGGTCAGTCGGCTTGTCAGAACAGGCGGTAGGCAGAAAAAGTCCGAAATGTCAGAGCAAGTTCAGGGGTCCGAATGTTCTCGCAAAGTTCTCAAATGTGAAAATGACCGAAGTCAGCACTTCCTTTTATAGGCAAAGTGAGAAGGCGAAGGGTCGCTTCCAAATTCAAAATTTGGGCGGGAAAATCTCTCGGCCGTTTGCAAGGTGACACCTGTAACAGGCCGTCGCCTGTCACCGTGCGACACCTGTCACAGGCGACCCGTGACCAGTCACGTGCCACCTGTGAGGGGCAAATGATTAGGGGATTTTTATCCACCAATCACCTTCTGACAAGTGGACCAACCAGGTTCCGCCACGTGTCCTTCACGAAGGACAACAGGAGCCTGCCACGTGTCAGTCACAGATACGTCCTCTACGGACCACTATAGACACGCCACGTGTCCGCCCATGCCAAATGGGAAAACCGTCCATCAAGGCCCAGTCCAGTCTAGAGGCCCGGTCAGCCCTAGGTTTACCTTAAACCTAGAGAGTTGCACGCTTCTCAAGGCTATAAATACTCGATTAATCCTCATTAATCACAGAATCGAATAATCAAGAAATCAAGCAGAGAAGAACAGAGTTATTAACAACCGGCTAATCTCGCTAACGACGCAGATTACCAACACTAAGCACTCTCACCTAGAGAGATCTCATTACTTTAATTTCTGTAGTGATTACTCCTTAATCAGGTACTAACTTGACCATTGGAGGCGGAGCTCTCAGGAGTCTCCGTTATTTTGCAGGTACAGGCGTCCGGTTCCAGTCTCGGAATTGTAACTCTCCCGCAGGACATCAGAAAACCCCGAAACAACATGCATGAAAAAAAATTGTTAATTAAATTTTTGGTTTGAATTGTCAGTCAATTTTTTACTACGTATATGTTGGTTAACTGCATGTAATTTACAAATAATTATAGCAAATATTGGTAGATTGATTGATCATATCAAGGCATGTGATATTTAAGCAAAAAAAAAAATATAACGACATATTGGTAGTATTGTATAGATCATGCATATATAATCATATATGAATATCATATTTCAATATCTTATTGAATTTATTGTAATTGATTAGGTATGCTATTACGATGAATTTTGTTACCCTTTTATAAAATATAGTACTTGTATTTACCAAATATCACCGACTACAATATTATCAATAAGACATAATATTTTATACTTGACAAAAAAAAAAGATATTATATTTTATAATTATACAATATGTGATAAAAGTATAAACAAAAGTGATGCATTAAAAAAATATATGTGAAGTATTAAAAAATCTTGTACGACAATATTTTGCAATATATGGAAAAAATAATTTACATAAAAAAGCCTAGTAAAAAAAAGTATCAAAGTACATGAACTTAAATTATTTTTGCTGAGCTTAAATTATTTTTACTGAACTGAAATTATTTTTGCTGAACTGAAATTATTTTTACTGAACTTATTTTTACTGATTAAAACTGATTTTTACTGAACTGAAATTATTTTTACTTAATATTATTTTTTTTAAGGTGAAGTGAACATGGCCTAAGTTTACATAGACTGTAATTAAGTTTTAATATGTAAAAGGACGTAAAAATTAGAAAAAAAAAATCATAGCAAAAATAAGACGAATGAATGAAACAGACTCGTGTGCCACTTCCTTTTTCCTTACACTGCCATTTACACGCAAAAATGAGTTAGATTTGAATAGTTGATACTCTCATTGCTCCCGTATCCTCTTCCACAATTTCCTATAAATTTGTCCATGATATTCTTGTTTCTTTCCTCAGCTTCTTTGATTGAATCTCGTACACTAAAAATCACGAACACAAGTTTTTTTTTTTAATTTAATTAATTTCACAAAAAAATGGCATTTCTTTTCAAACCCACAATTTCTTTCCCTCTTAATTTCTCTTTCGACCCACCAAAGTCAAATCCCAGAACTTCAATTACCATGAAAGATAGTATTAATTGTTCCAATTTTAGCACCATTGTTGATTCTTCTTCTGCAAGTGAGAAGAAAAAGTTGCCCATTTTGCTGTTTGATGTTATGGATACACTTGTTCGTGATCCCTTTTACCATGATGTTCCAGCTTTTTTTGGGTAATTTTCAATTCCTTTGATTTTCCCTTTTTTTTTCTTTCCATTTTTATGTGGATGTGTTTATGTTTCTGGGTTAAAGAAGAAAGGTTTGGAAACTTAAACTACTTTGTTTTTGCCCCTTATTATGTCAATTATGATTTGGGAAAAATGATTGAAATTTATGTTATTGCACCAAATTAATCTGAAGTTGGATTAGGTTTGATCTAGGGTGTTTATATTATATGGATTATTTGAACTGTATGTTCTTTCGAGAGCATAATCGATAGCCAAGCACGGCCGGCCGGGGGAGGGTGGGATTTGTCCTTCTGTATGCATTCTTTCCCTCTCTGCCTTAGGTGGGACTTGGGAGGCTAGGCATTGCAGGTAGTGTGTGGTATGGTATGGTAACTTGCCGAATAAGGCGGAAACTTGTGAATGTTATGGAGTTTAGATTTTATGTGTGCATTTTACATGTATATCCAATTGAATTGGAAGAAAATCTTGATAGAAAAGTGGATTTTAGAAGTATGTTTCAGTCATCATTCATTCATTCTCAATGTACATTGTAGAGAAAACTTCTTTATTTATTTGAGTATTGATGCTAAAGACTCTCAAACACTTCAAAATTTTGACTTCATAGTCAAATTCAAGCTAAACTAGTATAGCAAGACACTTTTACCCCTCATGCTATGTGGGTTGGTATAATGGTACGTTTATTAAGACAATAAAAAATTATCACTGGATAGTTTGGAGCAATGATGTTGGTTCTGTCGATACATTTAAACTTTTGGGTTTGTCATATTTGGGTTTTCCTAATACGAGTGATATCCTAAGTATTTTTTGGTCGCTTGACCTCAAGAACTATAAATTGCAAGAGTTGAAACTCTTGAAAGAGATGTCATGAATCTTTGTATTGTTGTTATATTATAAATTTAAGCTATTTGTTACTCTAAGTAATGTTGTTGCTTGTGTATTGTGGATTTTGTCCTCAGTATGTCCATGAAGGAATTGATGGAGTGCAAGCATCCAACTGCCTGGAGTGAGTTTGAAATGGGATTGATTAATGAGGTATAATGGTGAATGCCAGAAGTGAGATTCATCTGTAGTATAAACTTGTTTTGATTCTTAAGCAGTCTGATGGCCATCTTTGTGTTTTTACTTATACTGGTTGTTGCTGGATATGTTGTGGTCTTCCAGTTGTTTTTCCTTTCACCTGTTTTATATATAGTCTTTTCAGCAACTCTTTCTTAACTTCCCACATGACTGCCTTTGACATTCTCAAATATGCTTCTTAGTAAGTAGCACATGTGAGAGTTTAAGAAAATCTTATTTGCTAGAAGCCGACATCAATTTTAATAGATTTTTTTTTTTATAGATTTTTTTCAATTTTTTTAATAGATTTTGATTGTATTCTAGAAGCCGACATCATATACGGGACTATCTCTTGTATTTGAGTGGGATGCCTGCTCTCAGGGATGCCTGCCCCGAGCATCTTGCTTGCTCTTAAGGGTCACAAATTTTGGTGCACCTGGGATACAAGTTCTGATTTTAGAGTGGAACAGAAAATTGATTACTGTATAGTAAGTCACATAAAATGGCTACCTTTTTGATATTTTTGTCTAGAAAATAATTTAAAAGGGAATAGGTTTTTGCAAAGTTTTACTTTGGTTAGCTGGGTAACGCATAAGCTGAAGTGAATGTTCAATGGCACCCTTTGATTTATTTTGATGGGAGTTGTATTGAAACAGTCACAATTTGGAAAAAAAAAGCCCAATAGCATGTCTGTTTTGTCTAAATTCAAGAGGCGAATATTGTTGGGAAAATTTTGGATAGTATACGTGGGAACTTTGACAGGATATGTTCCAACAGTACATTAAAACATATGAAGGTATATATTTAGACCTCTAGATAGGAATTAAGATGTTCTGCTGAAATTCTATGTTTTTAATGCTGCCTATAATTACATTGCTCCTGCCTGACTTATAAGTTTGCTCTCTGCAGGATGAATTAGCTAAAAAGTTTTTCAAAGATGGAAGGCACCTTGATGTGGAAGGTGAGTTGGTATACTTAGAATTCTTGTTGATCATGCTGAATCTGAGTTTCAGTTTTGAACTGCTGGGCAAATTTATTTTCTTATTTCCTTTATTAATTATTTCACAAATGGTTTAAAGGTTGGACCCTCTACAATGTGTCATTCATGGAATTTTGAACTATTATTATAATAGAAAAAGAAAATATTGAGTTTCAAATTTGCTGTTGGTATATGTGATCACAGCTACCATTTCTTTTCCAGCAGTCTACAGAAGTTTATTATTTTAGTTGTATGGTTGAAACTTGACTGATGTTCGAGGTGAGGGAATTCAGGTGTATTGGATGGTTTGGACCTGAATTGAGTTACATGCAAGCAATTAACTAGAGGATTGTATAGACCAAATACTACTGAATAGATTGTTTGGAAAAATTGATTTACTCAACCTATTTTTATTTGTTTATTTAATAGTTTTATTATGGGCTTATATAGATGCATAGAGATGATGGTATTAGTTTTATAGTTTCTTAGAGAGTACCCTTGTCTCCTGCCTTCGATATACATATTTTTACTTATTGATCCTTGAGTGGCCTGTGTTATTGTTATATAATGAGATATAATATACATATGAAAATCTGCGAGCAATTTGGTAAATAAGGGAGCAATTTGTAGTATTTACTGTGTAACTATTCTCCAATTTCCAGCTCTCTTTCTCCTATAATAGATCTTTGTATTATACTTAGATACTTGTAGGTATCTTGAACTTGTGCTACTAGTTATTTGATAAACTGAAGCTTTACAATTTTCTTTGTAGGCCTCAAAGCATGCATGAAAAGAGGATATTCCTACTTAGATGGTGTTGAAGATCTTCTTCAAGTTTTAAAGAGAAACAACTATGAAATGCACGCTTTTACAAATTATCCAATCTGGTATTTGAGATTTCCTTCATTTCCTTATAAGATAGAGTATGTTTTTGCTGGGTTCTATTTTATGTGACTTACTTTGTACTTTTGTAAATTGTTTGCAGGTATCAACTAATCGAGGATAAGTTAAAGCTATCAACTTATTTATCTTGGACATTCTGCTCCTGTACAATAGGTATATTACATTTTTACTACCAGTTTATGGATTTCCAGCTGCAGTTGTGCCCTTTGTTTTCAACATTGTGTAGTAGAATGTCGGTAAAAAATGTTCAACTATCGTATGTATGACTGCTTGCTTCTTTCTTTGTGGCGATGAATTCTTCCTTCCATTGGAGTGATTAGACCATCTAACAAACTGTGAACAATCAACTGTTGTCATGTACATTGCTGAACATCTTTACAAAACTGTAAATGATCACCCCTTTTAAATTTGACCTTGAATTCTAAAAATGGTATAAACCGTCATATTTAGCTATGCCTAGTATTAGAATCTCGTTGGCTGTGAACCTACTCTGGGATTAAGCTCATTTGTCAGTTCTTTTTATTTTATGCCATTGAACCTTGATATTTTTTTGTTTTTGAGTTTTGCTCAAAATTTTATAAAATTGTGTTCATTCCTCATGTTGATTCTCTCTTCTTCTTGATATCACTGACCTGTCAAATCAGAATAGGTGATTTTATGAGGGATGGTATTTGGTTTCCGTTGTAGCTTCAGCCAATCGTGCTTTAAAATGTCATTTGCTAATTAATTTATTCTCTCCACTGACCTGTCAGACTAGAATAGAACTTGTTTTTTCTATGTTGAATTATTGTGGACTTCCACTTTTTTATGCCACACCTTTTCTTTTCTTGCCTTTAATCCTCCCTATTTTAGTTTTTTTTTTCTTTTTCTTTTTTATTGGACTGAAAAACCTGATAACATGTGTTTTGTAATATTATATCAAAAAAGAATTAGCTAATGTACTATTTGATGTTGTTTGTTTAAACTATTGTTTGCTCAATTGTGATCATTGTTTTATTTTTCAATTCTCATTATGAAGGATTGTTTTGAAACCAGTATTTCTGATAATGCTGTACAGGTAAATTAAAGCCAGACCCTAGTTTTTATAGTGAAGCCTTCAGATACCTTGACGTTGAGCCAGGAAGCTGTATATTTGTTGATGATCGGTAAGTGCTTCCTGCAATTGTGAATATTAAACTCTCATTGTTGATTTGTAGTTCAATGCTTGTCTTGGTTTTAGGGAATTTTTAATAACTTGTACCCCAAATTGATTGTGTACTGCCTGCATTCAATTTTTTTCCTGAACTGGACCTTTTCTACAGCTCTCATTTTTATTTCTGAGCTTTGTGAATCATGCGATTCATTTAGGACTTTCCCATGGTCTCTTTTCCTTTTTCTTTTATTCTAATATGTTCTTTTGCTATTTCATGTTATCCATCATCCGTGAATTTAGCAAACTGGTCATTTGATGACTGAAATTTAAAAATCTGCAAAACCACAGTGCTTTTTAGTAGGTTTGTTTGCTGTTCTATGCTGCAAATATATCTGAAAGCTATACACAAACTTGATACTTGGGTATAGGACTTCAAAAAATATGTAATATCTTTCAATAGTTTGACCTGTATATGCTGGATACAGGATACTTCTATGAGTGTTTACATATCTGAAAAGTCATCGCCATGAATATTTTTTAAGCCTTGTTTATTCTGATTTTATATTTGAATATCTACATGTCACTGTTGTGATGAGATTTTTGGTTGCAGGATAAAAAATGTGGAGGGAGCAGTGAGTGTTGGGATGGTTGGCCTGCAGTTTAAAGGGGCAGATGTGTTACGTAAAGATCTGTCTCTCCTTGGCTTAAATGTTTCTGCAGATGAACTCAGTCACAATTGGATGAGCTCATGAAAGACATTACATTTTGGGTTTAGTTTTTGATATTCTTTCAATTGCAGAACTCCTTAGTCACTAATTTTGTTACTCTGCATTGAATTCCTGGTGTTCTCTATTTTTTTTCCATTTGGGTGTGCGGGGACTCATGTAACATCATGTATATATAAAATTATCTTCTCTTTTGTGTTATGATCTCGCCTGAAACTTATATGACTTTTGACTTGATCGGTATCATGATGCATCATGACATGATCGTCAAACTACATGACATGGTCATCTAAATTCTATACAATTTTTACTCCTAGCTTTCCATTTCTGTATGACCATAGTTGTTGTCTTGGTGAAGCTAAAATGATAAGATGTAATCATGTTTGATGCTCCCAATTTTTCTTACTTTGGAGATTCGTGGTTATATACAACTGTAATATTGAAGTTCTACTTTAATGTCTGCAACCTTCTATTATTGGCTATGTACCTCATGAGCCAAGGAATATGACTTGTACAATCTTCTTTCAATATACAATCTCAGATATACTAGGCCTGCCATCTTTTCTTCTCTCTGTAATTTACCAACAATAAGATGCTTATTGTTTTAGAAAATTGTATGCAAATAATAACAGGTGCTTATGCTGTTACATTCTGCATGCTTCTATTATACTTAGTCATACTCTTCAAAGTACTGAGCAGTGAGCATAATTTTTTTCCATCTTTGAGGATGAAGGAAACTTGGCAATGAGGTAAGTAAGGTAACCTTTGGTACTTTCCTCAGTTGTATATTCTCTCTCAGATTTATATGATGTTTTTCATGGTACAAAAGCGGGAGTTGAAGTGATTTTTTTTTTTTTTTGTGAAATTCTTGATTTTCTATAAAATTTTTTTGCTCCTATTCTCTCTTGTTGGACCGATTTTGATCATTATTTTGTTAAATTGTGATTGGCATCATTTCATCATTATGAGAAATTACGTACGCTGCTACAAATTCATTTTACTGATTGATTCAGATATTAATCAGTAAATGTTCTTGCACACCTGTTGTTTGATTAATACCCTTGATTTTCTGCACCTAATTGTTTGAAAATTGAGCACAAGAGTGGTGATGACAAGTTCAAAGAGTAATTATGATGGATAACTTTCTTCTCCTGCTGTTATAGAGACAGGATCTCTATTTGCTGCTTGGAAAGATGAATAATTCCTGTGAAGACTGCAGGGGTACAGTCACTTCAGTTGACATATGCTTCTTGCTCTATAACAAGAATAGAAAGGTAAGCCAATACTGCCGCTTCTGCTGCTGGTATTTGACTTGTTGTAGAGACTAGAGAGTGCTTCAATCTTCATGCTCAAATAATATTCTTAGCTTGATTAAAAAAAAAAAAAAACTTATTAGTAGGAACTTATCAGATTGAAGAAGAAATTCTTTCTACAAAATGGTGGTTTATTGTTGTAACAACTTTCATTATATGGGAACAGAGTCAACAAGGGTTTATAAGGTTAGTTTGGTTGAGTGCAGTCATAAACGATTGTATGGCAAAGGTGGCTTTTGCACTGAGTACAAAGGTTTTTTTTTTTTTTTTTTTTTTTTTTTTTTTTTTTTTTTTTTTTTAAAAAAAAATTTTATTTATTTATTTTTTATATGAGGTTGAAGAAGGAAATTTTGCAGCCAGTTCGCTCGATGTAAATTAACCTACTCATACAATTAATTCTTGTATCATAGCGTCTTTAATCTTGCTGTAATTAACTTTAAAGCTTCCTATCTACAATTTGATGCATTTATTGACAATTCATATCAGTATATTGCAGTCGACCTTTTTATTTGGGTTGTATTAAATATTGCTCCCTTTTTACTAGGTAACGCTTCTATTTTAATTTGAATGGACTTATTTACCCTTCTATTTTACTAGGTAACCCGTAATCGGTTCGGGTTGTTTTCAGTTTCGGGTTGTAACGGTTTGACTTGATAACGGGTCGGGTTAGTAATGGTTCGCACAAATTTGGTTCAGTTCAGTTTCGGGTTAGAAAAAATTGGGTCGGATCGGGTCGGTTTTTGGTTTCTAAAAAACGGGTTTTTAATGGTTTAGTTCCTTTTCAGACCGGTTGAAACAGTCGGGTTTAACGGTTTGGGTCAGAAACTGACAGCTCTAGTTACATCTTTACATTCATTAGGGATAAGATTATGTACATCTGATTGTTGTTGTTGTTGTTTAACGACTGTATGAGTATCAATTTTATGTTATTGGTTATAAGTCCATAGACTACGCAATGGTCCCATTTTCTAGTGAAGTGTTACGGAGTATTGTACCAAGTCAACTGTTCAATTGTGTTACTGTCAACAATCATATGTATACTTGTACACTGCATCTTAAGACTAAGTCAATTATAACTGCTGTAATGAGTCAAACTACCAACTTATCTAAAAGAAGGCTTAAATATAAATTCTGAGTCCGATTTTTTGTTTCTGCTGATTATACCAACAATCCTAACGAATATAACTTTGATCACCGTAGTCTTGTTTAGCTACTCTTTCTTCTTTGATTTCCTGTTTTTCTTCAGTGTATTACTTCACATGTCTCTTCAGAAGCCCATGAAGTTCAAGGTAATTGTATTAATTTGACTGCCATCTTTATTTAGATTTCAATGCATCATAGTATCTTTACAAAATTTGTTGAGTTTGTCTATAGAATTAGATTTGCTAGAATATACCAGTGTTAATGCATGGGATAGTGTTGATAGCAAAGGGGAAGTTATCATGTGATGTTAACTTGGTTTCCGTTGGTATAAATGTGGATAAATATGATGTATGAGAACCTTTTTTTTAAGGAAAGTTCTACAGTATTATTTAGCTTTTTTAAATGACTTGTTTATTACTTCCTATAATATAGGATAGGATGCCTAAAATTTTTATAAAATCTTAATGAGCATCATTCTGTTGGCTGTGAACTTGTACAAAATTTGCATTGCAATTCACTTCTAGACATGCTAGTTTGTTATCGTATACTCCGTATTATGTAACTAGTGTATAATAACTTTATCATCATAATTTTGTTTTCGATTTGCTTAGGATCTTGCCTGGTATAGGATATGAGGTTTCTATTTCAAATGGCATTCTCCCATTTCTTGGCAAAAAAACACTTGGGTGGGTGGTGATTGCAATCTGTTATTTTAAATCTAATTCAATGAATACCTTTTTTTATCGTTTCTGTTCCAAGGTTCAAAAGGAACAGGTTGTGCTGAGGCTATAGGCAATAATTCCATGTTATATATGGATGTGATCTTAAATAGGACTTTCAGCTTAGGTTACCTGTCATTTTGGAACATGATGTTTGATTATATATTTTTACTTTGCCTCAGGTTTGTTAGGCAGTTAATTTACTTAATTATTCTTTTTCTCTATTTGATAGGTAAGGGCTGCAATTAGGCTGTTATTTGTTTTAGGCAATTAATATATAATATATTTTTTTTAATTGGATTGCAACAATTGAAGTCACTCACACTAGTAACTGTGTTTTGCAGGTCTTTAAGATGTTAAAAAGCTGTTATTCGTGCAGTTCTTATGATCCATACATGCTTGAAATCCCCGCTGTTAATGAATTAACATCAGAGGAAAAAGAGATAAACTTCATCCGCAATGGAGCTGTTCTTTTGGAGATGCAGATTGCATGCTTTAAAGGCAAGGGTAAAGAGCCAATTAAGATATATTCAGATGAAGATATTTATCGTGCAACAAATGGTTATCATCCAGCTCAGATCATTGGTCGCAATATTGCCACTGTATATAGAGGAAACCTTGAAGATCGAGCTGTTGCTATAAAGACCCGTCATGGCCTTTCTGGCTCAGATGAACTGATTGAGTTCTTCTTAAATCAGGTCACTATCAAGCAGCAAATCAGCCACAAAAATGTGGTTCGCCTCTATGGTTGTTGCTTAGAGACTCACATACCCATGCTCGTCCATGAGTTAATGCATGGTAACTTGTTTGATCATTTGCATAGGTCAAGTGAGTGCTGGATCTCCTGGAAAAATCGCTTGAGAATTGCCACTGAAATTGCATATGCAATTTCTTATATGCATTCTGCAGAATCGAAGCCTATTGTTCACAGGAATGTCAAGTCAGCAAGCATTTTCTTGGATGAGTCTCTCTCTGCTAAACTTTCTAACTTCGGAGTGTCCATTTCTATTGACCCTGAAGATTTGAAACCAGCATGGCCGCTCGTGGGAAGCGAAGGATACATTGATCCAGAGTATGCGGAGACCTTAGTGGTCTCTGAGAAATGTGATGTTTATAGTTTTGGGGTTGTTATGGTGGAACTGATAACCGGGAAAGATCCTGCAAATATGTGGATTCAAGGTGGTGATATAGTTAAATACTTTTTTTCGCATATGACACAAAATTGTGTGTTAGACATTGTTGATCAGAGACTATTGCTAGAAGGAAGTGTAAAATCTACTATAGCACAGTTTACTGAGCTTACTATGAGGTGTGTCCAAAGTCAAGGAGAAAGAAGGCCAACCATGGAGGAAGTTGTATTACAGCTTCAAAAAATGCAGAAGCCTTTGGACTTGTGTTCAAGGAGTTGAGGAGGTTGCGATTGCAAGATGACGAAGAATCTGGAGTGATGTAAAACGGAAAATGCATGATACACAAAACCTTTGAGCAATTGAGCTTTGGCAAGGCATGGATGAATTTCCAAGGTCTAACATTATTTACGTTACATTTTAAGTGAGCTATCATTTCTGTCATTTAAATGAAGTTAAAGAAATGCTAAAGTGACCTTAATATTCCTCTAGTTTCTTCACAATCAGCTTCCCACTCATACATGTAAACTGTGAAGTACTCCGTATGTCAATGTAAGTACTTAACTTATGGGATTGGATCTAGTTTGAAAGAGAGTGAAAGGAGGAGGAATTGTTAAAGGATATGAAATGCTAAATTATTCAAACAAGGCAAGTTTTAAAAAATCTTTGATAGTCCAATAAAAAGCTACTACCACTGTTTCGTTGGTATTTTATTAATTACAGTTTGAATTATTATATAATTTGATTAGTATCCTATTATGTCAACATTTACGTTCTTCCACATGGTTAGCTGTGCTTTGTGCTTCATTTTAGGTAAGTTGTATGTTGTTGACTTTTCCACTGTTTTCAAATTTCAAGTAATCTTTTTCTTTTTCTTTTTTTTTTAATAGGTTGAAGTCCCCTATCTTGAGCATTATGGGCTAGAGGATTTCATACTTGCAGGAGAAGGATAATTTTGAATCAGGTGGTTCTGACCAAACAGCTTCTTTGTAGGTAAAAATTTTAATATTTTGGGAACAATGAACTACCTCTTGCTCCAGTTCATCTTAATAGCTCTATATTTTTGGGTACACCCATTGCTTACGGTGGCATCTTCACCACTGATGGTGGCGTATCCACCTATTGCAAAGCCTGGTTGTCAGGATATTTGTGGGACTGTGAGCATTCCGTACCCATTTGGAATAGGAGATGATTGCTACCACAGCCTACCATATGAGGTTACTTGCAATACCTCTGTGCTGACTCCGAAACTTTTCCTGAGTAAATTTGATCTCGAGGTTTCAGAGATTAGTCTGAACACTTTGGATACACACACCATAGTAGTGAAAACCCTGCTACAGAGGACCTGCAGCATCCAAGATGTGAACATAAGCAGCATCGACCTTAGGGGAACTCCTTATTTGTTTTCAGGGGAGTTCAATTCTCTTATTGTGGGGAGTTGTGGGAGTAGTGCACTCTTGTTGGATAGAAGCAATGAAATCTTAGGGGGTTGTACAACAGCTTGTTATCAGGGTCATATGATAATGAATAATTTCACAGGCCGTGGGTGTTGAGAAATTTGATTTTCCTTCTTCACTTGACTTTTATCGTGTAAATATTTACAACTTTGGTAAAGGTGCAGATGATTGCACGAATACAATGCTAATAAATAAGACATTATCAATGAGGTTGTTGGTCCACGTCTCTCCAAGTTTGCAGTAGTACCGTCTGTACTGGAATGGATGCTCAGAAACATAACGCTGCCCTCTGATGACTAGAACAAATATTGTCAAGGTCCTCCAGAGAATTATGATTGTTACTGCAAATATGGCACTTATGGCAATCCTTATCTTCCTTATGGATGTCAAGGTAAGCATAAATTTTGAAAAACTCTCATCTTGATCTAAATTTTTGAAAGCTTATTGATTCAAAACATTTTCTTCTGAACTAGTCCCAAGAGAATGCAAGGGATGAAAACAAGGGTGCTCCAAAGAAGGAAACCATTATCGCTGTATCAGCGACATCCATGGTGATTCTAATACGCGGCTGATCCTTTTTGGTTCTGCTTGGTGGTAAAAATTCCAAATTTTAGTTTTACTGGTGCAAACTAAGGAGTAGCATTTAGGTCACCATGAACAGAATAGAGATACCAACAGAAAAACCAATTTAAGCTGAAATTATGGTATTTACATGATTACAAATTTGTTACAATTATAACTAATTAAAAAAACTAGTACTGAATAACGACTGCTTTCTCATTGCTTTTCTGGAGTCAGCAATGTTGCTGAACACCACTATTAATCAAACTGATACATAATAATGCCTGTATACCAAGCAAAATACAACAATGTAATGGGCCATGCAAATGCTTCATGCAGGTTCAACCGTTGGCTTAATGCTGTGTACTGGAAACATAAGCTGCATTTACCTTTGTATAAAGAAAAGGAGGCATATGAAAATGAAGGAGAAGTTCTTCTAGCAAAACGGAGGTATTCTGTTGAAGCAACAGATTTCTTTGAACCAAGGCAGCAACGATTCAACAAAAATATTTACACCCAAGAGCTAAGGGAAGCTACCAACAATTACAGCAAAGATAACATTTTAGGACGTGGTGGTTTTGGTACTGTGTATAAGGGGACTTTACCAAATGACCAAGTAGTTGCAATAAAAAAAAAACCGTGGTAAGTGACCAGAGTCAAGTCGAGCAATTTATCAATGAGGTGGTAATCCTAACCCAGATTAACCACCGAAATGCGGTAAAACTCTTAGGATGTTGCTTGGAGACTGAAGTGCCCTTGTTGGTTTATGAATATGTCTCTAATGGAACTCTCTTTGATCACATAAACAATGATGGCCCCCGTTGGCTCTCTTGGGAACACTGTCTGAGAATTTCAACCGAGGCTGCTAATGCAATTGCTTGTCTGCATTCTGCAGCTTCAATGCCCATCATCCATAGAGATATCAAGTCTTCCAACATTCTTTTGGATGATAAATTCACTGCAAAAATAGCGGATTTTGGAGTCTCCAGGTTAGTATCCATTGATCAATATCAAGTTACCACCCTGGTTCAAGGAACATTTGGGTATCTTGATCCGGAGTACTTTCTGACAAGTCATCTGTCTGAGAAGAGTGATGTCTACAGCTTTGGAGTGGTTCTGGTTGAACTTTTAACGAAGAGAAAACCAATTTCATGGGCGACTGGACTTGAAGATAAAAACTTAGCGATGCAGTTCATTAGTTCAGTCAAGAGCAATCAATTTTGTGATATTCTTGAGCCTCAACTCACGTAGGAAGCATCTCAGGAGCAGCTTTTTAGCATTGCAGATCTTGTAGAGAAATGTCTTAGTGTAAAAGGAGAAGATCGGCCATCCATGAAGGATGTTGCAAAGGAGTTAGAAGGACTGATGAAGAAGATAATAACACAACCTTGTTCTAATCAGCACAATAATGGGGACCTTGGCTTGTTAATGGAACATAGACACTTGATTATTCTGCCCTCCCAAGAGCAGAATGTAACCCGTCAGATAAATTATGAGGAGGATTTGATTATTGAGATGAGCTCTCCTCGTTAGCTGATCAAGAAATTCTTTTATCCATACTGTAAACAATAATTTCAGGACTGAAAATGTCCACTCTTTATAAGTGCAACAACGCTTCAACTTACCGAAGCAAACAATGCAATTGCCTGGGAGATGAATTGATCCATCCAATTCCACCTACAATAGGTGGTGGTCAATCAAATTAAGGCATGTTTCTAAGATTCTTTGTTTAATTTAAATGGCTTTGAGTTCTAGATGTTTTTTTAGTTAGTATATTACGTGCAAGAACAATTCCTGCTTGTAGTTGTTTGCTTCATGTATTGTGATATCATCTTTTATATTCCACCTTAAGAAATGACAACGGCATGATATGGCCAGCTGGCTGATTCAGAGTATGTAGTAACCTCAGTAGTGACAACTCACAGAGAAATCCTGCAGGTATATGGAACTGCTGGCCTAGTGACCTCAGTAGTCACAATACACTTGTTCATTGTTTTGTTTAGTCGAATATGTATTGTTAACTATTTAATCACATGGGTGGTTGGGAATCTAGTGTGAAAGAGAGTGAATACTGAAGGGAGTGTCAAAAGATAAAGATTTGCATAGTGGAAGATCAAAATTTCTATTTCGTTGGGAATTTGTTTTTCCCCAAGTCTCATACTATGCGACGTATGCATCAGTATTGTGACCATTTTTTTTGGACAGAGGTTGTTAAAGGTATCTTCTTAACTTAACTTTCTTTGCTCGTTAAAAGATAAGCCACCCCAATTGTTTGCGATTGTTATTTTCTTTGGTTCCACATACTTTTTGGTTAGTGGGTTATTTTGTTCTATTCACTTCTCCTTCATTCCAATTTAATTACTTCCTCCGTTCTAGTAATATTGCAATAACTAGACTTTTACACTATTTATTACGCTTGTTTGACCACATATTATGATTTATATGTAAAATAAAATAGTCATGTGGGGTCTTATTAGATTCGTCTCGTAAAATACTTTCACCATATCAACTTTTTATAATTTTTACTTTATATGATTATAGATATATAGCTTATAAAATGTGGTTTGGGATGCGTAATTTAATCATGTTGCAATATTTGTGAAATAGAGGGAATAGATGTCTATTATCGTCTTAACCCCATCACCCCACAATTTATCTACCTTTCCCCTCTCTCAATTTTATATTGTATCTATTTTTTAAATTTTATTTTCCTTGGTATTCTAATCTATAGTACTCAGTGATTGAGTAGAAATTAAAAAAAAAAAAAAAAAAAAAAAAAAAGAAGGAATATTATAATACCCTGTAGATAATAATAGATGCTGACATTGACCTTTTTCTGAAGTGGATTTCGTGAATCTTGTCATTATAATATAAATTGGCCTGGGAAGCAGCATTCACTTTGGGTTAAGTTGTCTTTTGTTGACTTTCCCCCTGTTTTTCCAAGTATACCCCCTATTTTTAGATTAGGTGGATCTGAATCCGCTAACCATCAATTCTTCTTAGGAGATATCTATATGATATTATGATTATTGCTGTGAAGCTCTCTTTTTCCATTTGTAACTACTTGAGTTTATATATATGCTGTCCATTATACAAAAAGCCTTTGGTACCATGTTTTATAACATGTTTCAGCTTATCATTATAGCTCTATTTATGTTGGTGCACCCATTGTTGACGGCGGCATCTTCATTGCCGCTGACGACAGCTGATCCTCCCATTGCAAAATCTGGTTGTCAGGATATCTGTGGGAATGTTAGCATTCCGTACCCGTTTGGTATAGGGGAAGATTGCTACCACAGCTTACCATATGCTGTTACTTGCAATACCTCTTTGCTGTCTCCAAAGCCTGTTCTGAGTAAATTCAACTATGAGGTGGTAGAGATTAGTCTAGAAAACACGTATACACACACCATAGTAGTGAACACGCCGCTGCAGAGGACCTGCAGCGTCCAAGATGTAAACATAACTAGCATCGACCTTAGGGGAACTCCTTACTGGTTCTTTGGAGATTCCAATGCTCTTATTGTGGGGGGTTGTGGGAGTAGTACTCTCTTGTTGGATAGAAGCAATAAAATCTTAGGGGGCTGTACGACAGCTTGTGATAAGGGTCATACAATAACGAATAATTGTACTGGCCGTGGGTGTTGCAGCATTGATGTTCCTTCTTCACTTGACTTTTATCGTTTAAATGTTTTTAACTTTGGTAAAGGTGACAATAATTGCACGAACATCATGTTGATTAATAAGACCTCAATTGTAAACAAGGTGGTTGATCCAAGTCTCTCCGAGTTTGCAGTAATCCCCACTGTACTGCAATGGGCCTCTGGAAACATAGCAGTGCCCTCTGATGACCGAAACAGGTACTGCTATCCTGCTGAAGGTCCTCTAGAAGATTTTAATTGCTACTGCAAATATGGCTATTATGGGAATCCTTATCTTCCTTATGGTTGCCAAGGTAGGCATAAATGATCCTAACTTTTTAATATTAATCTACTTTTATTGTTAATATGCTGTTCAATCATAATTTCGTGATCATAATCATTCTTCTTCAATTCTAGTCCCAAGAGAATGCAAGGGATGCAAACGAGGGTGCTCCAAAGATGGAAATCTTTATCATTGTATTGGCATTGACCGTGATCCAAATACACAACGAATCATTTGGTTTATCATTGGCGGTAAGTATTTCAAACTTGAGTATTACTATGTGTTAGGGACTGCTATGAACTCAACAAGGCTCACAACTGAAACAATATTGGCAGGTTAAAATGTTGGCTTATGGTGTATACATCATGCATAATATAAAGTCCAGTAATACACGATTTCTCATGCTTTCTAAAATTAGAAATGATGTTGAGTTTGTTGACTAATAACATTAATATTATTGATACCTGAAGACACCTGTTTGTTGAGCATATACAAGAATACAACTGAGTAATGGGCCATAAAAATTCCTTACGCAGGTTCAATCATTGGCTTAATGCTGTGTACTGGCAATATGAGCTGCATATACCTTTGTATCAAGAGAAGGAAGCATATGAAATTGAAGGAGAAGTTTTTCCATCAAAATGGCGGTTTTTTGTTGAAACAACGTCTTTCTTTGAACCAAGGCAACAATGATTCGACAAAAATATTTACTACTCAAGAGCTAAGGGAAGCTACCAACAATTACAGCAAAAATAACATTCTAGGACGTGGCGGATTTGGTACCGTGTATAAGGGGAATTTACCAAATAACCAAGTAGTTGCAATAAAAAAATCCGTGGTAAGTGATCAGAGTCAAGTCGAGCAGTTTATCAATGAGGTGGTAATCCTAACCCAGATAAACCACCGAAATGTGGTAAAACTCTTAGGATGTTGCTTGGAGACTGAAGTTCCCTTGTTGGTTTATGAATATGTCTCTAATGGAACTCTCTTTGATCACATACACAATGATGGCCCCCGTTGGCTCTCTTGGGAACACTGTCTGAGAATTTCAACTGAGGTTGCTAATGCAATTGCTTATCTGCACTCTTCAGCTTCAATGCCTATCATCCATAGAGATATCAAGTCTTCCAACATTCTTTTGGATGAAAATTTTACAGCAAAAATAGCGGATTTTGGAGTCTCTAAGTTAGTTCCCATTGATCAAGATCAAGTTACCACCCTGGTTCAAGGAACTTTTGGATATCTTGATCCGGAGTACTTTCTGACAAGTCATCTGTCTGAGAAGAGCGATGTCTACAGCTTTGGAGTAGTTCTTGTTGAATTATTAACGAAGAGAAAACCAATTTCATGGGAGACCGGACTTGAAGATAGGAACTTAGCAATGCAATTCATAAGTTCAATCAAGAGCAATCAGCCTTTTGATATCCTTGAGCCTCAACTCATGAAGGAAGCATCCCAGGAGGAGCTTATTACCATTGGAAATCTTGTAGATCAATGCCTTAGTGTTAAAGGAGAAGATCGGCCATCTATGAAGGACATTGCCAAAGAGTTAGAAGGATTGATGAAAAAGTTAAAGCACCCCGGGTCTAACCAATGCGATAAAGGAAACAATGGCTTGGTTAGTGTACATAAGCACTCTTGTGTTCAGTCCTCCCAAGACCAGAATACATCTCGCCAGATTAACTTTGAGAAGGAGTTGATTTTAGAGATGAGCTCTCCTCGCTAGCTCCTCACGGAAATTGCTTTGTCCATAGTGTAAAGAATAGTTTCAGGACAATGAGATTTTCCATAAGAATCCTACCAGTGGACTCAAGGAATTTAAGCAACTAAATAGTTGTTTTTTTTGTTATCTTGTTTAAACAATCTGAATTCAGAATTAGTGTATGTAATACATTTGTTGAATAAGATCATCGTGATTATGTATTAAATCCAGGGCTATAGGATATGGTTTGTGACAGGATGCAGGGGAGTGTCAAATGTCAGAATTTCACCAGATCACAGACATCAAAGTCCTGTTTTCTGAGTAAAATACTTGTAATTTTTGAAGGTCATATTAAGGCATGTTTCCTGAATTCTGTTTAGATAATGAATTTTGAGCTCTAGATCTTTATTTGTCATTAGTATTTTTTGATTAAGAACTAATTCTTGCTTGTCTTCATTCTCCTTACTAAACTGATTAACTCTGAAATATTTTGTGAAAGAATTGTTTACTTTCTTGCTCTCAACAGCAAAGGTATGATATCAGTGTCTTAGCATGATACATATCGTATGCTTTGAGTCTCAGCATATTTATTTTGAATGAGCTCTTTATGATTATTGATCTCTTTAAGGGCCTTTTATTAACTACTCTCTCCATTTTAATTTGTTCTTCCCATTTTGGAACTGTCCGTTTCTGTCATACCTTCAGATAGAACACAGACTTGTGCAGTACTGCAGTAGGCTGCTATCGGAAAGCCAAGGTACGTTGGTACAATGTCGATACCTCAGTGGTCAAAGAGAAATGTGGAAATTCTAACAGAACAAGATCTTGCAGATATGTGGAACTGCTGAAATCAGTGGTCACATTTTAATTGTTTTGTTTGGTCAAATATGTACTATTAATCACATGTGTGAGGATCTATTGTGAAAGAGAAAGAATGAAAAAGGGACTGTCAAAAGATTAGCAATGTGGATGGTCAAAGTTTCTATTCGTTTTGTCTAGAAATAATATTTTTTTACACAATCAATCATATTCTATATAACTTTTATTTAAGGACAGAGGGAGTACTTTGTTTGGGCTAAAGGTATATTGTTGATTTTGAAATTCTTTGGTTCCTTTAGATTAGCTTCCCTAACTTTTAGCAATTGGTAAAAAAGCTTTTTGCAGTACGAAGTATAGAATATCCTATAGAAGTGAATTTTGTTAAGAAATATGTATTGATTTAAGTAGTGTGTTATTCACTTTAGGTAAGGTGGCTTATGTTGACTTTTCCACCGGCTTTTAAATTTGGTGGCTCTGACCATCATAGGTTCTTTGGGTGCTACCTATATGATCATTGCTGTGAAGTTTTTCTTTTTTATATAACTGTTTCGGGTGAAAACAATGGGACCTTGCCGAAGGTCCGCTGAAATGGAGAAGACTGGATTCGGTCCAAGTTATGTTGGGCCGAAGGTTTCCTGCACAGTAAACACACGTAAACTAGCCTCGGGGGTGTTGCCGAGGAAGGCCCCTCCGATGCTAAAGTCAGTACAATGTGTAAGAAGAAGACACTATGCAAGAGAGCTTGTAGCTTGAGGCTTTTGTGGAATATCTCAGAATGTATGAATCTATGAATGAAATTAGAATATGAATATCTGAATATGAATGTGAATGTATCAATATGATGGCTTTATACCTCATCATACATGGAGAGGTTGGGCCTTAGCCCAATTGGCTTGCTTTGTGGGCTGACCTTTGACTTTAGCACAATTTGGAGAGTTGAACCCTGACCTTGGGCTTTTAATTGGATCATTTAGTGCTTAGGCCCAATTGGACTAAATTGGACCCAAACAACTTGCCCCCCAGACCCGATTTGGAAGGATGACGGGTCGGGTTTGATTTAATTCAGAAAAGGAGGGAAGTAAATGATTTAATTAATCCGAAAATTTGAATTTAAACCGTAATTAATGAGATAACAACGGTTAATGTTTGTGGAAGTTGGACGGATAATGGGCAGTTTAATCACAAGATCATGTGTTTAATGGTTACTTAGTGGAGTATTTAAGAGAAATTAAAACGCAGACTCCTCGTATCCCGTACCTGGAGATATAAACAGAGGCGCGTCATTTCTCCTCACTTATTCACCAACACAAACCCAGAATTCTCGAGAGAGAAACCAAGAACCCGCATCAAAACTTCGCAAATTCCCCGAGCATTAAGCTTAGAAACTGAGACTTGCCACTACGAACTCGTAAATCGGCAACTTTCGCTTCAGATTAAGGTAAATTCCTTTGATTTCAGTTTATTTTTCTTCGAATTCGAACTCCTTCCCCTTTTCTTTCGACTTTTTTCTTCGAAATAATCAATGGCAAGAGGAGTTAGAGGTAGAGCCCGTGCTCCAAGAAGAGCAAGGCCGATTCCCGATCCTAGGAACAGGATTGGGACCTGGAATGGTCAAAGGCCGGAGTCTGACCCTGCTGAAGGGATTAGGGCGACTCCCCTTTCCTCGGCTCCTCCTCAGAGAACGGAGGAGCCGAGCGCTTCTGGACGGGATGATGAAGTTCCCGCTGTCCTTTGGGATATCCTCCCCGGGTTTTCAGAATGGGAGAATGCCGAAGTTGCTTCGGCCATGATAAAGAACCGCCCCTACTCATGGTGGGTGGAGAATGCCGATCAATATCGATTTGCCGAGCAAATTGAGTTGCACTACGGCATTTTTGAAGCTGATGGGTACTGGTGCCGAATGCCCTCGGCATCCGATAGAATCCATCGTCCACCCCCGGGGTATGTGGGGGTGTACACAAGACAGCTTCAGTACGGGCTGAGGTTCCCTTTGGACGTATTCATCCGAGATTTGCTGATCCATTACAACATCTCTCTATGTCAGTTAACCCCCACCAGCATCCGAAGGGTGATGACATACTTATGGGTCTGCAAGTTCTTCAAGTACGTGCCGAACCTGCACTGCTTCAAAAAGCTCCATCGGCTAGTGCCAAATATTCAAAGTGGGCACGGAAGCCATGGTTCTGGGTGGTACCGGATTGAGTCCCGGCCCCAATACCTAACCATGTGGCCAAACGACTCTTCAGACAAGGACTGGAGAGGTCAATGGATTTGGGTTAGGGCACCCACAGATCCGGGCCACCCTTGCGTCTTCAGCGCTCCCCGGTACCTTGCTGAGCCTGATCCCGAAATGGGAAGTCTAGGTCCCCCCGCAGATAACGGGGCGGATCCGAACCTGGATCAGCAACATATCTTCGGCAAGCTGCCGAACCGGGGGGGCAGTGGCCGAATGCAGCATATCCCGGAGACTTGGCTCCCCGATACGCATTACGTTTTCCAAGAGAACATGCTAGCAGCTGTTGGCCTCAGCCGAAAGTTTAAGGATGGTAAGCTTCTTCGGTTGGGGCCGAGGCTTTTTAATTATCTCTTTTTCTTCTCTCGCTTCACTTTTTTATGCTGTGCCAATCTATCTGAGCTAACCTTTCCCCTTTCCTTTTTTCAGAGCGGGACGAGACCAACGTTGGCATTAACTACGCTCGTCTTGGTGTCAACCGAGAACGAGTTGTAACTGAACGGGCCCCGTCTATCACTGAGCCGAGGCATAGGGAAGTTCATCTAGACTCTTCCCACTTCCAAATTGAGGCTGTCGCTCTGTATCAGAGGCAGAAGCCTTGGTGGAAGAAGAGAGACCCTTGGTTTCAGCTGCTGGACGAAGAAGCTGAAGCTGCCCGCACAGCCGAAGAGGTTGCACGGGTACTCGAAGCTTGCGAAGGAGGAGAAGGGTCCTCCAGAGCTGCTGAAGCCGAAGCTGCAGCTAGAGCAGCTGAAGAAGACGAGGCTTTGCTGAAGACCTCGGTGAGCTTTCAGACTTAACTTTTTCTTCTTCTTTCTTTTTTTTTTTTTTTTTTTTACTCACATTCTTCCTCCCCCCTGTCTGTTACAGTCTGAAGAGAGTAACAGACACAGAGAAGGCAAAGCTCCTGTTCGTCCCGAAGACCAAATACAAGAGTCTTCAGACTCAGATATGGACGAGCAGCCCCTTCTGAAAAGGCGCCGAAGGATGGCCATCATCGGCCCTCATGACTTTCAGCGGAGGCCGATGACCATCGGCGTCGCAATAAGGGAACCCGAGGAAGGCAACGGATCGCCGAGGGTTCCCCAGCCACCACCCCAATCACCTCAAAAGACCCCTCCGCCACCTCCTGAGATGGAGGTGGATCAGAGAACTCCCGAACCTAAGGGAGGGGTCCAAGAAGAAATCAAGAAGAGTGCTGCTGAGCACGAAAATAAGGATGCCGTGATGTCCAGTGCTGAGGGCTTCACGGCAGACATCGCAAGAGAGGTTGAGGCTTTTGTCCTCACCCCTGAAGAAGAGGAGGTCATAGTAATTGACTCCTCTGAGAAGGATGATGCTGAGACAACCAAAGCTAATCAAGCTCCATCGTCATCCTTCCCTTCTTTCCAGACTCTGCATTCTGGAGAAATGGGTTTCTCGGCCCCCCGAATTCCAATCCCAGACCACATCTGGGACCTCATATGGGGTCAGAACCGAGAAGGAGCTGCAGCCTACTTCGACGATTTTGCTGGCATGTCCGAAGTAGACAGGGCAAGGATCTGGTCGCTGAAGGCCACTGCTGGGATGGGCGAATCCAGCAGATCAGTTCCTGACCCAGCCAGGTCTAACCAACTGCTGATGATGCAGGTAATTTTCCTTGTCTTCATTTCCTCTGAAATTCAGCTCTATATATATATTTTTTTTTTATTTATTATTGTTTTTTTTTGTCTTCCTGTTTTCAGTTCGTGCACAATCAGACTCTCACTGTAGAGCTGATAGATACCCTACAAGATAGGGTAGACGCTGCTGTGCACGACAAGAAGGTGGCTGAAGAGGAATTAAAGCTTGCTAAGCTGAAGCAAGCAGCAGCTGAAGAGAAGCAGCAGAAGGGTGAGGAGTATGAGAAAAGAGCTGCTGAAGCCCTCAAAACCTTCTGCGACGCTATGGAGAGGGAAGTTTTTCCCCCACTGATGGAAGGGGAAAAATTCCTCCAGGAGCATATGGGAGTGGACGTCTCCAAATTCAAGGCTGCTGTTGAGAGCCGAATTCAGGAAGGAGCTGCTGCACAAGCTGAAGTGCAGCAACGTCTAGAGGCTCTTGAAGCCAGCCGAATGGCTGCTGAAGAGCTGCTCCTGGCCAAAGATGTCCAACTCTCAGAGGCTGCTGCTGCTGCTGAAGCCCAAAGAGCTAAATTCCAAGAGGCTGAGGATCAACTGATGATCCAGAAAGTTGAAGTGGCCCAAGCTCAGACAAAGGCTTTCCAAATTCAGCAAGAGCTGAATGAGCTGAAAGGTTCCTCCTCCAAGCTCGCTGATGAGCTTAAGAAATCCAAGGAAGACTTGGAGGAGACCCAGAAGAAGCTGGCTGA